ATGATATTTTCCGGCGTTTAATCCAGTTTAAAGTGTAATCCCAAATTAATGTCATGTGGGCAAGTGAAGATTATTAGTGAAGCTTAAGTTATAATGCTGTGCATTTTGCAGGATCCATAGTTCTAGAATATCATTCCATTCCTAAAATTAAATGAGGATCATTTCGGGGTCGACGTGAAGAGAAATGGGGATCATTTCGGGGTCGATATCATTTCGGGGTCGATTTGGGGATCATTTCGGGGGCTGCACAGATCACTGAGTGTGTATATACTAATTGTTTTTATAATTCTGTAATACGTAAAAATGCCTGTATTTGACAAATGTATTACATGGTAGTCTTCCACGCAGCCGTTTTCGTCTCTTCAAGCAACTCTCCGCCCCAACGGGGGAGGGGAGGAACGTTGCGTCACGAGAGAAAAACGGCTACGAGGGAGACTAATTACTTGGCCGGTCTATTCGACTAATACACTTATTGACTGTAATCCATGATAGAGCAAAATGCGGAGGTGCTGGCGTTTGTGAAGGGGGATAACCCGAAGAAAAATTCTGGCAGCACGGAACTCAACACCCTGTTTGGCAGATCCTTTCTTTCACGTGCTCGATTTTAGCGTACCTCGAGAAAGACTCTACATGAACAGAGTAAGATCTTTGTCGGGCATGTGCGGCTTGTTGCAAGGATATAGCTTTCAAACGTATACGCTTGTTACAGTGGGTTCATTTATGACCAATGGTTTTTCAATACACGATTGACTAATCCAGAAGATCGGGCTTCGGCGACTTCAAAGGCTTGACGCGGGTTAGGCAGTACCTCCTTTTCTCCTCTGTCCTCTCTCAACAAGACAAAAAGAGGCCCTGCTCAAAATCAAACAAAACCTCCTGTTTGATAGTTGAAAGTCTTCGTAGTCACCGCTGAGGGGAGAGGCTAGTACTATCGCACTCGCCAGTTACCAGCTAAGGGCGTGTTTAAATGGAGGTGGGGGACCTGAGGTAGGTGGGGTAACCCGCCTGTCCATATAATCTCTCATATTAATTTGATTACGTTTACATGGGGGGTGGGGTGACCCGCCACATGTTACCTCACCTCTCTGGGGTCCCCAATCTTTATGTAAACAGGCCCTAACTGTACCATCATTTATTAAGTAAATTAAATAAAATTAAAGCACGACTACAATCATATGTCCCTTTTACTAAAGGAGATAAAACAAATAAAGTTTAATGTCAACGGCCTTTGCACTTTATTGTATAAAATCTGTGTAGGAAATAATTAGCATTTCTATATTAACATAGTGCACATATCAACAAACTTTCTAAGTTAAATTAAAAGTTAGATTTCTATTTTAGTATCATTTGTGTAGTTACGTTTTTCCCAGTAGTTATGACTTAGTTGTTCTTTGGTCGATTTTCCATGATCTTTTCATTTCATATCAGATAACCCGGGCAGATTTCCGTAAAGCCTTATCTGAGTATCATTTGCAACTAGGACCAGTGGAAGCTGAACATTTTCTTCAAAGGTACGATTATTGAAATTACATGCAAAGAAGATCATCGCAGTTAAAGACGCAACTTATGCAGTTGCGAAAAGAAATCCTGCAAAAACTTCCCAGCAAGCCTGAATTTTTGCATTTATTTTTTCACGCCGCAGTGAGGAAATTAATATATTCCTCATTTCACAGTGACTTTTTATCGTCACCAAAGTAGAACTACTTGGAACATGTAATGTTAAGCTTTGAAGTGAAATTTAATGACCGAACCCGAGAGAGCGGCAGAAATAGAGCCTATTCCTGATGGAACGAACTTCGACTAACTAATGTCCCTGTAAATGTTTTAGTATGTATTAATTCAGTAATTGTTCACCAGTAGGATGCCTGAAATGGATGCAATTAGTTTCGGCTTCATATTATCTCTATCACAACAGACGTGGACATTTATTACCTTGATTCCTGATGAGCATTTTAGGCTCGTACTGTTTTGTCTTGCCTTTTCTTGGTCGTATATATTTTAGTTTTCCAAAATTTATTTCTCCAAGACATGCATACCACTTATTAAATGAGAGTGAGGTCATTACAGGTGAATCTCAGACCGAGGTTTTGATGTATCAATACGTCAAGGCCGAGGTCTGAGATTTCCCTGTAATGACCGAGCGGAGGTTAGTAAGGTATTTATCATACGGCCTTTTTGGCGCTATTAATAGTGGAGCTCTCGCGCGAGAAGCGAGCCAGCGGAGCACCATGGATAAAAAAATGAAGTAATCTACCCATCCGAGAAAATTTCGTAATCACGTGACCGTACACCGACCGACCGCCCGCCCGAGCGACCGTCCGTCCGCACCACAGGTATACCAATGTAAAGTAACTCAATCAACAGGTATGGCAACCCAAATGCAACTTGTGGTTATTTTGGCGGGAAATCGCGTAGCAACCGGCGTTTTGTAAAGCAGAGACAACTAAAGAGTCAATAAAGACGAAAACGGAAAGCGGAAGTTGTGTCTGTATCCGTGTTGTCTAAAGTATTTAGTTTAGACAAATTGTGATGTCCACAAATTTGGAATATAGAGCAGGAGAAAGACAGAGAAAAAGAGAAAGTAGGCGGCATGCCAGGGAAGCTCAACGAGAAAAAGGGCGACAGAGGTCTAGAGCGAGAGACAAAAAACAAAGGAGACATTTTTTTGTTGGAAGAACAACATGAAAATTTTGTAGCGGCGATGACAAAATGGGAAATGCTAGCGGCCACCAATGCAAGGTGAAAATAAGTGCAAGTGAAAAAAAAGTGAACGAGAACACGTACGACATTTCCGCCATAAAACGTGTAACTAAGAAGTTTCTGGAAGTTTCACGTTGTAGTCGTGTAAAACAACGGCAAAGAAATGTAAAAAAAAAGTGGGCTGCACAAGCAAAGTTGCTTGCTTTGCTAACTAGACCTATTGTTATTTTTCACCATTCTCCGGCGTTGCCTTCGCTGCTTAGCACTACACGATTTTATATTTTTTTGAACAAACTATAAATAGTATTTAGGGCTTCGCTTTTAGCCCTGGCTAACTCTATTTATTATAAAACATCGGAAGCAATTTAGCCTGTGATCAATTAAAACCAATAACATGTCACCTCAATGAGTTGGATACTCGAGCTTGCGATACAGTCATATTACACTGGTCGGCGGATACCTTTGTTGACAGCTGTCAATTGACCATAACATGGATGTCCACTATCAAGTTAAACACATGTTGTATCTGCCTTGGAAACCTAGCGAATAATGCGCAGTCATTACAATGAAATAATGCCCGCTTAACAACCAATCAGAGCGCGCGTACTATTGTAGCCATATAATACTGCTTATTATTGAATGCATTTGTCGAATTTCATTAGATGCGGCATGAGAGAACAGAGTATGGTTCCTTACAAGAAATTAATGGACTTATATCTGGATCGGTCTGAACAAGGAAGGTTACAAGCCATTTTGAATGATCCGAAGCACAGGTGATGAAATAGATACGTTAAATTGTACATTTACATTGTACATATCATACATTGTGTACTTGTTGTGTCTGTAATGCTGCAATATTACCCTGCGAGCAGTGGTTTCTTTCTGGCATTGATGGCTTTTTGGTAGGGCGTGGTTACGATCTTCTGTTGTTCATTGCCATGAAGTCCGAATGTAAAACGTTGTACAGGGATTACTTTAAATGCAAGACTGGCTTAGTCAGGTTTGCGCGTTTTTTCCATCCACTATCAAAGAGGCAGTTCAGAGGAGTTGTGCTTAACTTTTACTTACGTATTATTTTACTTTTGTAACTTTGGTATTGTTTCATTGCAGGTTTAATTGCAGCAGAGACTCAAATATTGGCAACACAACAGCAATTGATGCTGAGGCCCGTCTACTTGACTTACTACAGTCTGATTTCCTAGCTTTGCTTGGAGCTTTTAAGTAAGTGATAACAATATGCACGTACCTGCTACACAGTGTATGCTCTGATATTTGGTCCAGTTCACCTTAGTCTACCTTATCAAAGAACCCAGCCGGTATAAAAGGTCTGAGATGGCGTGGGTTTGAATCGAGTCAGGGACACAGAGGCTTTCTTCTTCAAGTTTGTCCATCCGTGCTTCCTTCTGTATTTGCTGTATCATCCTACCTTCTTTTAACTTTTTGAGCGGCTATTTTTATGTTTAACTCACTTTTGGTGGCATTTCCCATTGTTTGAATTTTGATAAAATTTAGTGACACAGCTGCTTTAAAAGCCGGAGAAAATGGTTAACCACGTTTGAGATTCTATCAGACATGGGCAAATTTTGGACGCCATGATCGACTGTTTGTATTTGAAAAAAACATTCTCTTTGTGATAGAATGACTCGAAAGGAGGGGTAAATTTAATTTATTGACGATACTGTTAAAGTAGTTTTGGAATCAAAATACCTTTTCGAAAAGTGCTGGTTTTACAAGTTTATTGCACAAATTTAAATCTAAGAGTGGCGCTGCAAACTGCAAACTGTTTTAAACTTTTTACAGTACATTGAGATAACGTCTCCAGCAATGAAAATTTGCAAATAGTATGGTTTAAATACAATTGTAAGATAACTTACGACCAGTGGATGTGACGTTACACTTCTTTTTGACAAGAGGAATGACATACAATGCATATGTACCTCATGATTTCTACTCTTAAAAAAACCTTCCCACTAACCTCTCTCCTAAACAACATTTTTCCCTAGGAAAGGAGGTAGCAATAACGTTAGGTTAGCGGAGGGAGGGGTGGGTAAGCGGTTTCTCAGAATCTTATACTTATGCAATGTTTTTTTTTTTTATTCTTAACTTGCAGGCAGCTTGACAGAGACAATTTGGGGGTGATTAAGCGATACCAGTTTAAGGACTTACTAGAGACTCGATTCAACATGAAGATCAAGGATGATGAGCTCAATTCAGTAGTGCAACCCTTAGTGGAAGGTTCCATGCAAAGTTTGATACCTTACGGGCGGTTCCTAGAGCTCTTCACCTCATCGGGGTAGTTACTTTTTTAAATTTTGGTTTCACTGTCGTACAGTCTTTGATTACATTGAAAACTCCATTCATGCATACACTCAAAACCCCAGGGCCATGTAATTCATGGTGGTTAAAAGTCCTTGGGACAATGAAGCAATATTCGTGAATACCCGCGACCGGCGTAAAAATTACTAACAACGCTTTGCCGTAAAGGGCCTTTGTGACATACGTTTGCCGCCTTCAAAAAAGGCAAATGAAGCTCCCTCCCACACCCCCTTCATGCAATGTTGCTGCAGTATATGAACTACAGTGAAACCTGTATTAAGCGGACACCGTATTAAGCGGACACCCTCTATTAAGCGGACAGTAGCCGAAGTCCCCAAATTTATTTCCCTTATTTACTTTAAATGAAACCTTTATTGAGCGGACACCTCTATAAAGCGGACGCGGACACCTAAAAAGTACCTGAAATGGTCATTTCTATTGTTGCCAACCTGTATTAAACGGACACTTGTAATTAAATTCCACCACCCAACACGCCAGACACGGAAATGCGAAAGATTGCCTCGAATTGCCACCCACAAATTTTTCGATTTTTACATTAAAAAACGTGACTTGACGAACTTATTTGATTAGTTTCACAGTACAGGATTGTTTTCTATTTCGTTTTGTTTGTATAGAGCTTGTTTCACTCATCTGATTTCTTCAAATTTGAGTTGCAATCCATGTTTATGGTACTATGATCAATTGGTTCACTTTGGTAAAGAAATTTATGGAAATGTCTATCGTCATAGTCTCGGGGAGTATTATAAACGCTTCCATTGTTCATTTGAATGGCATTTGACACCTCATACGACGTTATATATCGAAACCTGTATTAGGCGGACACCCTGTATTAAGCGGACACTACAGCCTTCCCCGAGGGTGTCCGCTTAATACAGGTTTCACTGTACCTGTAAGTGCTGAGTCTTGAGTTGAAAAGGAGTGGCAGCATGATCTAGAATATCGAAACAAGTAGGTGAACCTAAACTTTTGCATTTTTTTAGAGTCTTGCTGGTGTTTGAATACGCGTGAGGCCCAATTAGTGATTAAATGCTCAAGTACGCGTATGGAAAAAAAATCGGATCATGTCTCCGATATAGCAGGCGTTACAGCCTGCACATAAAAAATGTAAACAAAAGGAACGGAGAACGGAGTCTACGGGGGATAGGGTCTTTCCAATTGGTCTCCAGTTGTGTAAATTCTTTGATCCCTGCTGGAAAAGTTAACCTTTACGTGAAAATACCTCTTTGCTACCGCAGGGAAAACAGAAATGATGCAAGCAATGTAAAGATGCCTCGTCCACCAACAGGCAATAGCAGACCAGCAACTTCACCCAAGGAGCTGAGCTCACCGCGGCGGCCTACCTCACGAAAAGAATTGGAAAGTGGCGCCACTAAGCCAGAGATAATCAAATCGCAACCAAGGAGTGCCAACGTGGTAAGCACAAGGGTATACTTTTGAAAGAGGTTAGGATCATGTTTTGCACCGCAAATTCCGATTACAGCTCGCATGTTAATTGTTTTGCTGCGTACATAGTTGCTCGACACACCCTTGTACAGTGTATTTTGAAAGGAGATGACGCGCCTTTTAGTGTCGTTCGTTCGAAGATACGTTGCAGCCTTGTCACGTATAGTTAGGTGTTGCCATGAAGAGAGCCTTTCTGTACTGATAATAATCCCACGACTTCGCCTCGAGTTTTTAAACCTGATAATACCTTCCAGCTTCTTTTTAAACAGTACAAGAAACCCGAACTTGTACGAATATTGATTTTCAAAGTTTTCTTTGCTTACCTCTTTATATGACATGCTCGTAAAGCTAGCTCCAAGACTGCAAATGCGGTAACCAACCAGAAGTTACGTACCTAACTCTACTTCTTAACTTTTACTTTTTACGAAAACGAAAATATCTTTTACTTAATTCCTTTTTATGTTTAAAGTGTTTAACAAAAAATTTGTGGGAAAATGTTCTTGACGTCTCTTTGGAACTTAATTGTAGATCTGTTAAATTTATAACCGTTCGAAATTTTATTTTTCCTGCAGCTATTCTGTGTTATTCGGGATCTACTAACAGAAAAATTCCAAGTCATTCATAAGGTTTGCTGTTCATCGCTTTTTTAAAAAATAATAGACTGAAGTATTTTTTTTTTTTGAGAAGCATTTTTGTTCTCTTCCTCACTGTAGACCTTTCAAGGAATGGAGCAACTTAAAAAAGGATATTTATCGAAAGGAGTGTTTAGAAGACTGTTTGACAGGTACTTGCAAGGGAGTTGCATTTTCTCCGCAATTACATTTTGAGTTATGGATCGTCTTTTTTCTTAATAACAGTACTCAAGTTCTTACATAACGTATTTCCTTTTAAAAGCTATAAGAAGGGGTGCTTCATTGGATCGAAGGAGGGCGCTTAATCGAGGGCGGCGTTTATTAAGTTTTCCTTGAAGCAAAATGTGGTTTTATTTTGCTTAGATCTTTAATAGAAAAACGAAAAATGTAACATTATAGGCATAACCCTATAAGTCAATATTTTGATGTCTTTCGTTTGTTAAAACAGTGGCTGGAAATCAAGTCAGCCGTATAGTCCTTTAAATACATTTAACGCACTTATCAGTATTTATGTCTATAAAATACCGATCGGTATTTATGTGTATGAAATACCGATTATCTCGTCATCCTTAAGATTATTCTCGTCAATGATATGTAGATCGTCGTTTTCCTTTTGTATTCATAGTATTTGCGAAAGGGATAGGGGGGGGGGGGGGGGGGAGTCGCATATTCGAGAGAAGAGCTTGTTTGATATTATAGTGACTTTACGCAAAAGGAAGGCAGGAAGAAGAGGACGGGACAACGGATGTGTGTGACAATCGTGACAGGGCTATCACTTGCGTGTTTGTCGTGATCTTCATTTTACACTAATGTTTTCCGTTCGGTTACAAAAAGACCTGTTCAAAGGAAGGTGGAATTTGGCGGAAGGATTTTACAAACAAAATTATTGTCACGTTTGTCCCACAACCTTTGGTGTCTTCTTTTCTCTCTCGTCCTGCTGCGTAAGTTCACTAATATGGACTAGGGGACGGGCGCTTATTAGAGCGTGGGCGCTTATTAGAGGAAATAAGGTATAACGGTCTTGTTGTCGCTATTATTTTTGCAATGCAGGTATGATCTCAAGTTTACCTCATCCGAGGTGGATTTAATGTGGTCCAAGTTACCGTCTGAGAAGGATGGCTCAGTCAGCTTTGAGGAATTGGTTCATCACTGTTTCCTAAACTACAACGTAACTTCAAACGAGGGATATAATGGGCAGCCAGGTAAGCCTAACTTTCTAGGAACAAAAAAAAACTTTCGTAGGTCTTTGTGTAACAATCAACATGTAAAATTTCTGACGGGTTTGAAAACTAATGACAGTCTTAACGGTTCTCCAAACAAAAAATGTTCTTTTCGTGTAACCATTTAAGTTTACGGTATAGGGAAAGTTTTATAATGCTCCAGGTTTAGAACGATCGCTTCCTTTTTTCGAAAAAAAATGAGAGTAGGTAAAACATATCGCAAAACCACACTGTCAGCTGTTTATTCATTTATCAACATGCAAAACTATAAATGAGTAACCATAGAACTATGAAATAACGCTCTGATATTGAGAGCACAAAAGTATCGTAAATCTGGATTCATTGAGCAAAAAAATACGTTATTCACACATGAAGTTCCTTATTTGGGGATATGCTTTTGTCTTGGAGTCGAGGTGCCTGTCTGTGTGTAAGCGTATAAAGGGTAAAGGCCCGTCCACACCTATCAGGATACACAATGCCAGTCTGCTCCGTTGTTAGAGCACACCGTAATTTCTAGGGAGTTATTATAACTCCAAAAATGGAGTAAACATTTTAGGTACAGGATAACCCCTTTGATGGGGTTATTTTAACTCCTAATTTAACTCCGAATTTGGGGTCATTTTTACTCCTGAAAAAGAGTTCTTTTTACTCCCACTCTGGAGTTAAAATTACTCCGAAATGGGGTTATTTGTACTCCTTACATGGGTTGTTTTTACTCTTTTTGGAGTTAATTTAACTCTGAAAGTGGAGTAAAAATTTTAGGTACAGGATAACTCCGTTTTTGGGGTTATTTTAACTCCTCAATATCTGGGGTCACTTTTACTCCTGAAAAAGAGTTCTTTAAACTCCTTTTTGGAGTTAAAGTAACTCCACGAAAAATAACTCCACTGTAAGGAGTTAAATTAGCCCCACTAGAGGAGATATTATAACTCCCTGAAAATTACAGTGCGTCCTAACTAGAACTCGGAGGGTCGCGAGTTCGATTCTCACGTGGAGCTCGGAAAATTTTTCTGATCTTTCTGATGTTTGAATTCTCCTTCATCTTTAGAATTAATCGTATTCGAAAACTTCCGTTTCGCCTATCCACACGTAAACGATCAGCACGAAAACCTGCGATTTTGGTGCCAGAAAACCCCGTTTACATGCGGACAACGGCCTAAAACGAGAGAAAAAATGTCCTTTTTTTATAATGAAATATCCGGATACGTATAAACGGAACCTAAACGAATCCTGTACAAAAATTTGCCATCCTGAAGAATTACCTTTGTGATGCTTTACTACCCATGCCAAACGGCTAGTTGCTTAAGATGAAGCCCCACCCATGTTGATAATAAATTAAGGAAATGGAAATTCAATTGATACTGGTGTTCGTGGTCGTTAATTGATTTTTACACCTTTTTAGGATCACTCTCATATGTTCTTCAAGAATACGCTAAGTCCGTTATGCACAAACGACTGGCATCAGTCCCTGAAGAGAAAGAAGATGATCCAGAACCTCTTCCAACTCCACCCTCTCAAATGCAACTGGAAGACCAGCCAGGGTCCCCCATGGATGAAAATGCCTCTCTTCCTTCCCTGAAGACACGCAATAAACCAACTGTGGAAGCCACCTTGAGGAGAATCAAACCACAGGTAACAGCTTTTTATCCCTTGTGAAAGATATAACACTGAAAGTATAGCTTGTCAACTGAATTTAAGTCGTTTGCCTGATGGTTCCAAAAAACGAAAACATTCTCAGGGAGTTGCCTTAGTTCTAACTAATTAGTTTTTGTTTGAGTGTCAATGTATTTAGCACGAAAGAAATGAATAATTTAGGACACTATTTGAACGTCTCCTTCTGAAGACGGGACAGCCATTTTCGGTGGTCATCCAAGCCACGCTTGGACTTGTAGGGCAAACGACTAGACCGTCGAATGGGGATGTTTTGTCTTCGAATGGGGATGTTTAGATTAAAGGGAACCTCCACTTCAACAAAAAGATAACTTTAAATCACAGGAAATAACTGTTACAGTCAAGTCACTCTAAAATATTTTTAAAGAAAGCGTTTGTATCCGAAAGAAATAACTTTTAGATTCGCCTATTTTTGTTTTCAAATTTTGCGGGCGTCGCCATCTTGACTAATTGTGAAGTGTTACGGTTGCCCTATTGTTATTTAACAAAAGCTCTTTGTGTCAGAGCAATAGAGCAACCGTAACACGTCACAATTATTCAAGATGGCGGCGCCCGCGAAATTTGAAAGTGAAAATAAGCGATTTTAAACTTCACTTTTCCTGATATAAACACTTTTTTTGAGGACAAATTTTGAAATTTGTTTATCAACATAATTTTATTCGATTTAAACTTATTCTGTAGTAAGAGTGGAGGTTCCCTTTAAGCTGTCATGTGAAAACCAACTGTTTATTTGCTGCTACTGTAAATTGAGAGCTTGTTGAGAGCGTTGTTAGTCTGCATGGCGAAAGAAAACGGCGATAATCGAGGTCAATCTCCTCAGTGATTTGTAAGGTAGAGTTGCTTTGGGAATTTTGAGCTTATTATTACAGTGTGATCACGGTCACCGCGCTTCTGGGACAAATTTTTACACGCAGGGAACTGGTGCCTCTTTTGTGACTTGTTCTGAATCTTAAAAAGAATGACGCGATCATGCGGTAAATCATTACCTGTCAGATGCACTCTTTTGTTAATTGTCTTTACTACAAAACATTAAATTCGCCCCATGTAGGGGAATCCGGAAAAATTTTGCTTGGGGATTCCGGAATCCTGGGCTCAGAACCCAAATTTCACTACCTGGAATCCAGAATCCAAGATTCTTGATTTCCTTATATCAATGAAAGAAATAATTATTTAACGAGAGACATATTAGCGAGTGCGCTGATAAACTCATGGCCCTCGCTCTTCTATTCACTAACGGCGTGCCTGCAAATGTATTCACGTGTAGGTTTGTTCACAATGGAACGAGCTGCGCGATGCTTTCATTGCGGAAGACAATGAAGGAAGTGCAACCTTGGACTTCAATAGATTTAAGGTAACTCACATGTGAACTCAACTTGCGTGTGTTTCTGTAAACATTAAAGAGGGAAAAGGTATCACATGAAGTCTAAAGACTACAGAATTGCCGAAAATTGTCGATATTAAGCGCAGAGCTCTAGCTCCGACTGAGCGGTTTGCAGTCTTTTGTTTGACGACAGTCCGTGCTCTAATCGGCGTTGAGGTTTATGAAGCCTACCTTTATATAGTTAAGGTCGTGCCTCTCTTTACCGGGGTAACCTTCAATTATTGGTCTGAAACCGACGTAGATAGTTGAGAGTGCTGCTGGAACAGCTTATACTGATGTTTTTAGGATAAGAGGAAATGATGTCAGCCTTATAAGGACAGGTGTTTACTGCATTGCTGTATTGCACTGTTTCTTTTTATTCAGTTCAAAGCTGCAAAGCTACGTCAAAAAATCTTCAAAGTGATGTTCTATGGTGTTAATTTAACCTTGTCTTCATGTCCGAGCGCAGGTAGAATTTCGTTGGACTTCATTCAAATTTAGTCGGACATTGTCGAATGACGACTGTTATTTGCAGCTGTGCAGTTTCTTTACTTAAGGTTCTTAGACTAAGAAATTTCCCGAACAATAATATGTGTGGTATTGACACAAAATGACAGCAACAACAATTTTCCGTCTGTCCTCTTCGAATACTTTTCTATTACGCTAAGAGATGATTTAATGACTCAGAAGCACAACCGGCCACGCCTTTTTTGACATCCTGCGATGCTCATTAAACTCAGGAAACAATTCAAAGCTACTTTTTTTGTACAGGATGTTTTGAGGAAATTTTCCAAAGATGTTAGCGAAGAAGAATTCCAGAGTCTTTGTCTTAAGTTTGATAGGAGGAAAAACTCAAGGTAAGTTAAAAGAAGAGCATTGGAACTACTCAATTTTTTTTCACACCTTTTTCTTGTAAGGAAGAAACATGACTCCATGTTATCTTTTTCTTTAGGGTGTGGTACCTGGAATTCATGAAACACTTTCTTCCCACAATGCCTGTGAAACCTCAGAGCCTCGTCCCTATGTCGCAATCATACAAGTCTCGTACACAGGTTTGTTAACTTTCTGATTTTCCGGACTGATTGGCATATTTATTTCATCAGAAAGTTGTCAACCGGAAAAGTGACGATCGTAAAGAACGATATGTTGTTCTTTGTTGATTAAAGGCCAGGAGTATCACATCGAACCTACAATGTACGTACATTTTTGTATAATTCTTGTCAAAATAACGTTCAACTCCAGTTTTCAAAATTGTTGGGCTTTATTCATTCGTCTGTTCAGTGACGTATACAACGGACCTATTCAACTTATGAAATCCCTACCCTTAAAAGACACCAAAAAAGGTAACCCTTTTTGGGTGGAGTCTCCCTGTATAAGCTCATGTGTTTGTACCTCCGTAGGATGGAGCTACAAATAATTCCAGATCGAGTGTGGTTAACTAAACAAGTATAGTAGCAGGTCATATATCAAATCAAATTTTTTCTTTGATATGTAGGTGGCGTGGACGGATACCAGGAAAGTCCGCGAGGCGATTGATGCAGTCTTTGGTAAAATCCGAAACCAGGTGAGAATTACATGCATAGAATTCATGCAACACAGAGCATTTGCCCTAAAGACAGTCAGTGAATAACTTGATTTGTTATATCGCTGGTTCTGCGAGCGGGCACGATGGATCAAATCCTGTGTTCTGATTGGCTATCTTGCCCGCTCGGCATTTCCCTCATTTTCCCCCACAAGAAAAACAAACTATTTTAGCCAGAGGTTTCTTACTCAGTTAAGTTGGCAAAGTTTTGGCTTTCGTACTTCTTTGCGTCCTTACATGTAAATGGTTAGGGGAAGTCAAACGGTATTGACGGTTACTGCTACGGGTAATTTATCCTTTCACTTTCTATTGATTATTCCATGTGATTTGTGTAGATGATTTCTGAATGGAAAGGTCTCAGAAGAGCATTCAAGCGAATGGATTTGTCAGGCGATGGTTTTGTGTCCGTCACAGATTTTAAGGCCGCTATGAACAAGTTTCAATTCTCTTTACACGAAGAGGATTTCTTTCATATTTTCTCCGTGTTTGATGAAAACATGGCAGGGAGAATATCTTATGAGGAATTTATGAGGTGTTCACTGAGCGTGTAGACTTTTACCACCAGGCAACTGTAAAAGTATTTTATTTCTGTAAATATTTTAGTGCACTTATCTTAGGGCGCTTTCCATTATTGTCAGAACTGACTGGACAGCCATTTCTGTTGTAATGAGAATTTCAGCTCTTATCAAAACTATCCGGCCAGATCAGTCAAACCCTAAAGAGTATGCACGAAGGAGACGGTTTTTCAGCAAAAACTCTTGGAAAAAGCCTATTTCGTTTTCAAAATGACTGGTCTTGCCATAGTCCGGCCGGCCAGTTCTGACTTTTGGAAAAAACCCTTAGTTTGGAACTTCTTAGTTTTCGACCCCTTGTTGTCAAGATTGCTCTCTGTTTCGTGACGTTTTTTTGTTTGTTTGTTTGTTTGTTTCTTTTTCACGACGTTTGATGTGCGGAACCCAAAAAGGCCAGACTTCAAGTATAAGCTACGTAAATTTTTAAATCTTGGATTAATTCGAATCCTTGTGTAAATCTCGGGTATTTTTCTACAGCATTGTGCTCGACTAGCATGTTTAACCGTGTAGTCACTTCTCTCAACTTTTTATTGAGATGGTTTCCCATGTTTCATCTAGATCAAGCTTTTCTCTTTACAATTTCCGTGAGGAACAATTGTTTTTTTTTAGCTTAGCCAACTGTGCCAAAAAAGCAAAGCCAAGCGAGAAAAAGCAGCGAATTAGAAAGCAAATCTGCGAAGCGTTGCATGCACATCATTAACAGTTCAAAGTAGACAGACTGCAAATTATCTTAGTTGCTAAAAAATATATATCTACGTGTCGCAACTGTTCATCAGTAGGATGCCTAAAATGCGTGTAATTCCACAATTGGTTTCGGCTCCATTAAATCCTATACCAACTGCAGAACATTTTAGGAGGAGCCACCCACCATGTGAGCACAGTCACGGACAATGTATAAGTGAGGAAAATAACGCAAAGTAAAATTAAGACGTTAATAAACGAACTAAATGTACACGTCAATTAAATAAATAAACAAATAATGCGCGCGCTCAAAATAACACGCCTTAGGGTATGGGGGTTCACTCCGTTCGTTGCCTTGTCGAACATTGTTTGCTTGTTATACCACCCACGGTGTGTTTGATAGACATTGGCTGCGGCCGCAAGAATAACAGGTTAACTGGGTTATATTAGCAACCTGGTTAAAAGAGTTTAACATAATTGAGTATGTGAGGCCAGCGTAAGTTTTCATTTTCTTTGAACTGATTGTGAAATAAAATGCGTTTAGAACAAGGTTATTTTGTTAGTTCAACTTGGTGCTTCATTATGATGCTAAAAAGGTCTGAATAATTTGTGATGACCTTGCGTACCTTTGCCTCTATTTGCCATGTGGCCCTACCAAGGTCCCTGCGATGTTCTCTATCTTGAGAAATCTTTACAGTCTCGCCCCTAGTGTCTGTAATGAGGACCAAGAACCATATTTCTCCTGGTTGTTTAATCAGTTTCAATTTACTGTGGGGTCAATTTAATAACACTTTTGCAAGTGTAATTTACAAATGTATCTATTGTTTTAAGTTCCGAAAGCGGTGGCTGCCCTTTGTCCCAACCTCAAAAAAAGTTGGTATCTAAAAAAAACGGTGGACCTTAAATCCCATGGTTATAATTGATCCCCAGGGTTGGGCCACTTATAGTCCTCCACGAAGTAAATGCTTAATTGACGATAACTACATTGTATTCCGCTTTTTATCGATAACGAACAAGATCGTATGTAAAGCAGTTTATTAATAGCAAACTTCAAAAAACAGTTATCAGTAACTAAAGGATAGCTTTCGTCTTTGAAAAGAAAAACTGCTTCAGTTGTCGACAATAATCCTGATAGTTTTGTTGTCTACAACTGTTTTCCCTTGTCGGCGAGACAGTATTTGACAACCTATGCTCCTCTCCGGTGGACGTCTGTTACTAAAAATATGTTTTAAGGAAAACGTGATATCTTTGCCTTCCCCATTACGCACCCTCCGTTACGTTTACCATATACTTAAAGCACAAACTAAAATAATCTCGCTGGCAAGAAGAGTCATATTTCAAGATGTCAAATCTTTTGACGTTGTTGTCTCTTCCTGTTCTCGTTTTCCTCCAAGGATATGATCCTAGAATGGTCACAAGGGTAACATTCCCAACATGCTTTCGTGCTTTGTTTTTTGTCATATGTGAGTTTATTCTACTCTTTGTCCCTGTAAGCCAAGAACGACTTATTGTGCACGTGTTTGCCATTTTTCGATTAATATTTCCGTTTTAGGTATGGGCACAATCATTCAACGTCTTGGGAAAATGCATCCTGTCATCACTTAAATGCTTCAACCAAGGTTTCAGGACTCGTTTCTGTTACCGAGTCCGGGTCCAAAACTGAAAGTACACTTCAAAGATCCATCTCACTGAGTAATTCAATACTTTGTCCTCCTCGTCGGCTGTAAATCTAAAATGCCTAATATATATATAAAATATAACAAGCTAGTGCTCCCCGACGTAACCAATATTTGGGCATAATTACAAAACTGTATCTCCCAGCAACGTCGAGATGAATGAGCTTAGAACAACGACAAATTTTTCATGGCAGTGACCTCCGCCTGAAACAGTCCTTGGGCTTTCTCTTGCAGCCGTAAGTGATTGTCATATTTTGGTGAGGCGAGTTTAGCCATTTCTTTGCCCAAGCGTAAGATGTAGAATCATTGCTTGGCTTGCAGTCTTTATTTCCAACGTTGATATCCTGTAGGTCTTCAGATAATCGCCGGACCATTCTGGTCAAACTCGCCGCCTGAATCACCTCAATCCGTTTATTGAGCTCGATAAACGGCCATGCCGTCTTTGAATAAATCTGTAAAACATAATAATAAATACATTGGGAGTCAGTAGTATAGATCGTTTTCACTGTCACGCAACAAAAAAATAAATTGGAAACCGTCCGGTGGAAAAAGCCAAGAAAATGAAATGTTATAAAAGAGTAATATATAAACAATTTTTCCAAGTCTCAGGTCTTTGTGGCCAACAGTTTCTGAATTATTTGCCGAAACGTATCATGCACCTTGGTAGAGCTTTTTATGGAGACGCCATATTGGTGTACAGTTTTGGTCCACCAATATGGCCGCCGGAAATCTAGAAATCAAGTTCATTTTTTCTATAAAAGCTCTTTCTTTTTACTCGAGAACTAGCATATGTGCACATACACGTATATTCCAACACTTGAAATGGTTATACTGCTCAAAATCAAGGGGAGAGACTTTTTTCAACGAGACAGCATTCCTATCTTGGCGGTCACGCACCGTGAAAAAACCTCGGAAGTTCAAATTGCTGTATTTTCGAAATGAAACATGCTACGGACATAGAAACTTGTACAAAGATTAATTTTTGTTCATCTTCAACCTAGTTTAAATAAGAATTCGTAAAACCTCGCTATTTTAACTGTACAATTTGATGACGTCACTGTTTAAACCATCTATAAGTAGTACATGATGTTATATACGATATATTTTGATATTTCCATGTATAGAGACCAAGAAAAATAGACGAACAAAGGAAGAGTGAGGAACATGTTTGGAACCCCTTTTCAAAGGATCTACCCATGTTGCAGATATTACAAACACTTAATTACAAATTGCAATGACGTGATATAAAATTTAAAGAAAAAAAGCCACCAAGGAATTCTCTTTTCATAAAGAAATAACGATTAACAAAAAAATCAGGCCTAGCAACATACACAGGGGACCCACAAATATTTAGATGGTTTTAAGTTGTTTATTTATTGATTTACAACAGTAAATAGGATTTGAACTTCTATTCAAAAGTTTCCAAGTTGAGTTTTTACCATCAATTATCCCGGGCAGAACATCATTTCATCAAGAAGTTAAACATTATTGAACGCATATTTATACCATGGGAAGAAAAAGTTAGTGTCCGCCATTATACCAAAGAGAATCAGAAAAATCTGAGAAGTATTCTGGAGTTTACACGGCAATTGATTAATCCCCCTTTTCCCCTTCTAGTTTATCGTTCTTTTTTATGACAACGTCACTGCAGCCTGTAATTGTCCACCTCGCAAGTGATTTTTTAATCTCATCCCCTTGATATGTACACTGGAACTGACAAACGACCAACTCACAGGCCTTCGGCTTCGTAAGCTGAGTCGTCAAGACATCGTGCTCAGTGATTCGGTGGAAGCCCTTCTAAAGTTGAATGATCAAAATATGAGGTGATTCGATTGTTTTTACACTACTGACTGGTTTATCATTCCGTTAGTCTCACAAAATAAGGGATGAAAAAGTTTATTAGTTATGTAGAAAATTCATATTCGTGATTACTTTATGTTGTTCTTCGACCTGACCCTTGCTCGCTACTTTCTTCACTTCCTGCGTTACTCTTCTCCTTCGTCTGAAGCTCCTGACACCAGCCTTGACCTAATAAACAGGAAAAACACTGCGATCAAATCACGCCAAAAGCCGCGAAGGCTTTAAACAAAAAGAAAGCAATTTCGGTTTAAATTCAAATCTACTCAATTCTTTTCGCTCACTTGTCCCGTCGAATCGCCTCCAGTTTCTTTGATACTTGTCCTTTTCACTTGAAAGTGCTCCCAGGAGGGCCCCACCCAAATAAAGTTTCTCAAAATTTTCGACAATAACTTTGTAACCTATTCTGCTGAAAGCTACTTCCCCTAGTGCCTTCGTTTAAGTGAAGAGGTGAAGTTAAAGGGTTGATTCAAAAATGTCCTTTTGAAATAGTAAAGGAATTATTCCCTTTGTTCCTAGACGCCACAGAAACGAGAAGGTGACTTCAGCTGAAATGTGTCCTGCAATTGTTTCTGGGATGGTTACTGGGCACGCGCTGATCAGCTATTGGCCAAATTTTCTTCCATGTCCCCAATAAGAGTCCCAGAAGTCTTTGTTCAGTAGCAAAGCTCACTAGGCCTAGTTTCCCTCTCGTTTTCTAAGTGGCGAATAGGCTTTGCAAAGTGGCGAATAGGCTTCGTAAAGTAGCGAATAGGCTTCGTCTTAGTCTCGTTTAACGGTTTTATTTCCAAGAGATAGATTCCCACTAACTTTTTATGATGTTGATCAGTTCGATGAATAAAACAAAGCAAGGTAAAGATACCTCAGTGCTGAAAATGCAGTGAAACAAGAAGAGGAACACTCCCTAGTAAAAAAAGAAAAAAAAAAGACCACGGTTTAGAAACAGCAGTCAGCCATTTCAATTTTCCATTTTCATTTTTCAACTTTTCGTCGTGAATTTCGGACTGACTTAGGCCGTGAATACACTTTGACACCACATTTTTTATAAAGCTTAACATTTTATTTCCTTTCCCAATTTCTTTTTAAAAATCTAGGCCCGGCCAATAACTCATTCATTAAACTCAGTATTGCTCGGTGACGGCTGGACTCACGGCTTTTATACTGAAATACGACGACATCGCTGATAGTACGAGACAAGAAATGAGGAATCTTTCTTGCACAGGGTTAAATTTGGGCTGACGTCTGTTAACTCTAACGCCATAGAAGGGCATTAACTGAGGTAACTTACCTGCAACGAGTTAAATGTAACAAAAAGGTATTGAAACACGATTGTGTCCTGATCAACAGCGAATATTCCAAACAACCAGGTCAGTCCAAGCAGTGGTGTTAGTGTCATGGAGGCTCGTACCGTCGTGCTGAAGTATAAAATAAAGATAAAAAGTAAGGTTCATTTCCGTGAAAACGCTTCTTTGACAACTACTTTTTTCAAACTTTAAACAGCTTAGCCTAATTTGTTAAAATGTGATGTTTACTTTTTCTTCTTACAGTAGAAAAAACGGAAAAAGAGATGAGCTTTCTATTCTTCCATCAACGCTTATTAAATGTACTTGCGTATTGAGTAGGCGCCTGGTGTTAAGCGGCCTAGTTTTTGCAGAAAGCCCAATTCGTTTTAAGAATGCTTGAAGTAAAGAAATTCATTGTAGCGGAACCAAGACGAAGGGTTATAATTATCAGGTGGCAATTCAATGCTAATAATGACAGCCATAGTGTTAGAAACCATTTATTAAGTGTACCGGAATTGCTTGGTTACACTGTTCCGGCCAACTATATGGAATAAGGTTTGCTGTTATGATGTTACATTACATCAGAATGACATCAGCCTTCTGGGCTTTAATTGATCTCTCTCGTTCCCAGGGTCCTCTCCTTCTCGGCCTCTCTCTCTCGCTCCGGGGGCCAAGTAGGAGAGGACCCTGGGAACGAGGTTGTTGACTGATGCCTATGCATGCGTATAGTAATATGTGGCGGGCACATAAGACCCCATTCTGTTCCTGAAGTCCATAAAAGCAGGATTGGCGTGCATGCAGGCTTAAGCGAGCGGACATACACACCGTATTTTTTGCAATTCACTTTTGCTTTGAAACATTCTTGTTCTTGTCAACCTCTCCAGAACCGCTCCTAACACAACAAAATTCACCTGAAGAGAGAATTGAGCCGAAAGTTAAAAAGAGAACTGTACATAACACATTTTTAGCTTACTTTTTTTTATTTGACATTTAGTTGAATATAAATGTTATATCACCTGTTTATTCGAATGCTGCAAAACTAACATTTAGGCGGTATAAGAATTAATTTTAGACCATTGGCCCCTTAAAGGGGCTGTGTCACGGCAGTCCAGTTCATATTGTTTAATTTTGCCAATTACTCGCCCTCAGTCGCTATGGAACTTAAAGTAAGCAAAGAAATTACATATAAATGACAAAATCATAGATCTGAGACAAACAAATATGTCTCCTGAGCATTATTTTTGAAGTTGCAAGCAGCAGGGATCAACTTTGAAAAACTGTTAGGCTGAACAGTTTTCAAAACCCCTAATTTCAATCCGTTTCAATCTTCTTCAGTTTTGCCCATCCGTGGCATCTGTTGTTTCTGTTTTAACCTTCCTTTAAAGTTTTAAGCGGTTATTTTCTATGTTTCTCTTAATTAAACGGGCATTTTGTAATTTCCTAATTTTGTTGAATTTCGTGACACAGCTCCTTTAAAAGCAAGGTCGTTAAAGCCGGAGCACTTACCAATAGAACACCACAGACAGGACCAATAAACGACCATTGTGTACCAGACGTTATAGACAACCAGCAACTACAGAAAGGTCCAAAGATTAAGAATAGAAATGAAAAAGTGATCAGAGACAAATTAAAGATAGACTTAATTCAAAAAGGACTTACTGTTCTGCATTTCCGTACTCATTAAACTTTACTGCAAACGTTGCTCCAACTATAAGCGATGGTAAACCTTATAGATGAGAAAAGAAAAGAAAGAACGAAATTAATGTGTGTGTGTGTGCGTGTGTCAGCTGCTTCTTGTGTGGTAAAGTTGAATAAACATTCTTGTTTGTTCACTTAACTGCTTAAACCATACTTAAACTTTTCATCAAAAGTTGTTCTGGTCAAAGTTAAGATATGTTAATGTTTTACAGTGCTTACTATAGTACTAATCACAAGCACTGAGGAGAAGGATGTTTATGCTTCTCTCTGGAAATACTAATGGGTGCTCTGGACAGCTTTAAAATAATCGTGTTGTTTTCTGTAAGATTTTTTACTTCTTGGATAATATTGAATTATATTGACAAAAATGTACCGGGAGTGGCTTACCATATGCTATCGCATAGGATATTGTCATTTCATTTCTTAACCGGAAGGAAGCTTTGATTCTCGATAGCAGATGTATTCCCTCCACCAGCATCCACATAAAGGAGGCCAAGAAAAGGAAATGAAGGCTCACTGCAACCGTCTTGCAAAAGACCTAAATTTGAAAACAGTTTTTTTCCGTTTTATAATATTTCATTCGTTATATCTCGTAAGATTATCATGCAAAGAAGAATACCCTTCGAGAAGAATTTCCTCATAGGGACAGGGTCGGTATGGACGCCCATTTTTTGTACAGGCGGTCTTCATTTTCAATTATTTTTATAGGGTATGCTAACCACTGGTCGAAGCTTTATATTTGAGCCATGTTGAACAACTATCCCATATTTAGAGTCATTTACGGATTAACTAAAAGAGCTAGAAAATTCAGTGATAATTATAAACTTTTGGAACGGAATTTGTTCTTAAGCATACGCCAATTTTCGACAAGCATGAACATTTAATTGGTAGTAAAATCATATGTCTGGTAAATCATACGTGTCAAGACAATGACGTAAAACTTGACGCTTTAGTTTTTGAAAATCCATTTTCATTGAACGATGAAAACAAGTAAATCAATGAACTCACCTTACAAGAGACCGCGCTTTTGATTCCAGTTAAGAAAATGAGATGAGCACCAGCAAGACACGCTATCATGTTGAAGTGTATTTTGACTTTGTTGTCTTTTAAATTCCTGAAATAAAAGAACGCTTTTGATTTTTTATTTACTTCTTTGAGGGGTGAATAACTTTTGGGTAACATAGCCGGATTTGAATTTTAAAAAAAAATTACTACAATCGGAGAAGAGATGCCACAGGTTAGGAAGGATGGTCTCTCTTTTGTTACTTCGAGAATGTACTGTACTTACGTCAATAGAATGAAAGCTACCAAACACAGTATCTCTGCAGCCAAAGACAACGAACATCCAAGATACGTCATCCACAAGAGAGCTTCTCGGTGCAAACCTTGTGGCTGTAAATATAAATTTTTATTTGCTTTTTTTTCATTTTAATAAATTTTAAACATGTTTTAACTTGCAGAAAAGAACCTGTGGAAAAATCCGTACCCAACAACTGAAACATTTGAGAGTTGATAAGTTTTTTATTTTCAAATTGATGACGTTTCATTAAAACAGGAAACGAATAACATTTTTATAGTTTGATGATAAGCTGATTGATTAATGGATTGATTAACTGATTAATTGGTTAATCGATCTAGCGATCGATCGATCGATTGATTGATTGATTGATTGATTGAGTGAGTGAGTGATTGAGTGAGTGAGTGAGTGAGCAAGTGAGTGAATGAGTGAGTCAGAGTGAGTGATTATTACTCAGTTTAAGTGCATTAATAGGCTTTACTTACCACAACAGAGTCGGAATCTACTCTGAGAAGAAGAGCAAAGTTTGTGAGATGATTACAATGACACGTGACTCGTGACGAGTTAATCAATAGCAAAGTGCATCCGTCAGTTGACCAGGCTCCATTAACTGTTCCCCTAAGGTCGATGACACAAATACAGTTTAAGAGCAAACAAGCCAATATTAATTGAGCAAACAAATTAATTAATTCACTGGACGAAAAAAAGGATTTGCACAAATTTGCTCCTTGCAAATATGTCGCAAATATGTAAATACTGAGGAGTAAACATATGACAAAGATGGTAAGTTCCACATTTGCATACCAAAAAACAAGGGGTGTAAATAACTAGGCAAATGTGGCATTTGCCATGTTTGCCATATATTTACTCCTCAGTATTTATATATTTGCAACATATTCGTAAGGAGCAAATTTGTGCAAATCGCCATGAAATGAATACATTTGAAAGTAGCATTAGCCCGCACTGCTGACATTTGACTTTCTAATACTAAACCTGTTTTGGTTGTGTCATCGGTCAGTAGTATAGCTTTCTAAACAGGTAGGAATCAACATAAAAACTTAAGACAGAGGTGTGCATGTGTGTTAGAATACCGGACCCAAGTTGCATGCAAACTGCACTTCGAAATCGACGCGAAGCACTGCATTTTCTCTTATTTTTATTCTTTCTTGGAATAATCGTAACGATTTTGATTAGTTATGCCTATTAACTTTAATACCACACTTGCATAATTTTGCGTAGACTTTGTTACTTACGAAGCACTAAAGTTCCAGAATCCACAGTAATAATCTTTCTCATTATCTGAATTCTGAAATAAAAAGAAATTATTAAAGCAAACAAAATGACTGAAAAGGTTGGATACTGTGGACGTGTATGTATAAAGGAGTTCTGTGTGACGATATGACATTATTTTGCAGCCTACAAAACTATGAATCTTTATATTGAAGGAAACCCAAACTAACAGTCTCGCACTAAAGAAATGTATGACAAAGGTAATGATAAATTGATAATTAAAGATTAAGGATGGTTTAGGATGTCATGAAAACAAACGACAAACCTCAAAATGCAAAAACCGTGGTATTGTTCCTTGAAGACGCATTGTCGTTATTGCATGTCCACAACCGACTCTGTGATTCGACTGTTTTGTCAGATTGCGTAGAGGTTTTTCTGTATGATGATTGCTAGTAACTTACATGTGATAATGGACGCAGGGTTACAACTACGGGATTTTCATTGTCAACTACTCCCTCAGGTCTTACAGTCAAAGACATAACGCGGCTGTCTACTTTGGTGGATCTAAGTTGTAAGGGGGAAAAACAAGTTCAGTTTACTCAGTGCAGTAAACAACAACAACAGCAACAACAATTTTATTGCACCCCCGACAAGAAATTAGAATCAATTTGCAAGTAATAAACTTTGTTGATTAAATAAAGGGGTATACCGACTTTCTGACTTATCCAATAAGCTGGAAATGCCAGAAAGCCAGATTCAGTAAGATAATTTAAACGCAATATTTATAGCGAAGGTGCAACATGACAAAAATTAGGTCTTACGTTTGATGGCAACGCAAAGTGAAACTGTTATAATCTCAAAATATCTTAATGCAATGACAAACACAAAAATTGGTCTGATGTTTAAAATCTGTTGCTCGACAAACGATGTTTGAAATTGTTCGGATGGTAAGAAGATTTTTTCTTCTTCTCTCCATTTCCTTTAGAAAACTTGTAAAACGGCTTTCAGTGTATCAGTCAGACGTCAGCTGTCTAGTTAATCAACAGTCAATTATCTTTATTTCGTATTTTGCAGAGGTTATATTAGCAAACCATTCATTTGGCTACAGTTGTACTTGTATAGGTAATAGCATGATTTGTAGTGATATTTGGCATAAATACCACGAGTGATCTTTCAAAATTGTTATTATGAAATTTGAGACAATCACGAGTGGTATTTATGCCAAATATCACGTACAAATCATGCTATTAATTGTTTATATTACTACCCTTAAAAGGTTTGTAATTTCCACATGTAGGTATTTCAAATTAAGCTGAAATACCACTGCTCTAAGCCAATCAAATTGCAGAAATGTCTCCGGTGAATTAAGGAATGGGGCACTGCAAATTTGGAGGGGGGTGGTCTGTTTTAGTAGGGATTTTACCTTTCGCATAAATATTTTAAATTTAACATATATTTCCCATAAGGATTCATTTTTCATTATTACGAATGTATTATCTTTGTCACGTGACTTGCCACACCCATTTTTGACTTTTTATTTCAATCCAAATTTACACCACTTTATAAATGACACTTGTAATTTAATTTATTTTTTTTCAACGACTATCGACACAAAGTTTATGGAATTAATTGGGGTTTTCTTAAATTATCTACGCTTTGTAAACTATAACCTTTCTTGTTAAGAGGGAGACTGGGACGAGAGAAAAATATCTAATAATTACGAAGGAATGGATCATTTCACAAACCCCCGATTAATTTAGCTTATTTGACTGCAAATGAAATATTATGGAAGGGAAAACGATTGTGGTCACATTCATTAAAGTGGTGTAGTCTGCAGAGTCCAAATTTTGCATAATTATGGGAGTGGCTGGTCACGTGATATGTAAAAAGTAGTGTTTAAGGTCCAAAGTGGTTGTGGTCTTAAATGCAGCGGTCTAAGTTTAAATAGAAGGAAGATACTGGATAAAACAAGATCAAATCATAAAACCCCCCCAAGTAACAAGGACCCATGCCTTAATTCACCTGAGGTCTGATGTCGCAGTATAAATACTGTAATTACTTCGTTAATTGTTATCTTAGTTACTTGAAGAAGTTGCTATTTTCCTATTTGTCCATTTGTTTCGTTAGCATTGCAGCTTATCAGTTGGATAGTCACCGAAGTCACAGTTACAAATGAACCTAATTAGTATAGGTAATACCATGATTTGTAGTGATATTTGGCATAAATACCACGAGTGATATTTCGAAATTGTTATACGTAATTTCACGAGCCGTTAGGCGAGTGAAATTTGAGACTATTTTGAAATATCACTAGTGGTATTTATGCCAAATATCACGTACAAATCATGCGATTATTTGTTTATACTACTACCCGCAAAAGGTTTGTAATTTTCACATGTAGGTATTTCAAATTAAGCTGAAATACCACTGCTCTAAGCCAATCAAATTGCAGAAATTTCTCATGTAGTAGTATAATGATTCTTACCGCCAATCAGCATCTCCTCTTGTTGGGTCAACCGGAAATAATTTGTGCGCCGTTTTATAAGAAATAAATGATACTTGATATTGTTGATGCTCTATACACACAAAAGAACAAAAATCACAGTCAAGAAAATCCCGTATGTTTTTAACACAAATATCCATGTGCGGTATTATAAATGGGCTTTTACCGCCTTTTGTAACAACAAACTGTCACTGATAGGGCTTAGTTACGGTTGTCACTTTGTACCGCCTTTACTTAATGTCTGTTACCTTTGTTTACCTTTGTTTCCCTTAGGTTTTCACTTTATTAATATTCATAACCTTTTTTTTCTTAATTATGTATTGTCATAGTTAGGAGAAAATTGATGTTGATCACTCCTTGGATAAAAAAAACTTCAGAGTGCCTTTTTTGGTTCAGCGACTCATAAAAACAGCAGACAACTACATTGTTACAATAAGAAATGGTATCTTTATGATTTCCGTCACTTTTACAAACTATAGATAAACCTAGACAGCACAATAATCAAATAGAATGAATACAATGAAAATAACTAAGTACCTCTCGACGTTGGTTTGGGAAGTATAGCATTTTCCATTACGCCACTCCATGTGTTACAGTATTCTGATACGTTTTGTTCTGTGCTACAACCGTCGCTTGCAAATAACTTCAACGGAAATCCTGTCCTTCTTATGCATGACTTCGCTGTGAGCTCTGCAAATAAAAACATCCCTTATTATTATTACAGTCAAACCCCGTTAATACGGCCACTGAGGGGACCATAGAAAGTGTCCGTATTAAGCGGGTTGAATTTGGAGAAAATGTAAGGGTTTTCTTTCCCTAGGGACACAGCAAACTGTTTGACTGTAGTAGGACAGATACATAAATACAAAAAGTCAGGTACAATATGATTTTTTGCACACATTTATCGATTAACCATTGTGTGTTGGACACAAGATAATGAAAAGGAGGTAAGTAAGAAAGGTTACTTACTAATATTAAGGAAGGAAAACGTTTTTTCATTTGCTGTTTGGTTGTCGCACTCCAGATACTTCACAAATGCCACACCAAAATCTTCTACAGTTTTTAAGAGCCGACTTAAAGTTGATGAATTCTGAAAATCACACACCATAAAGAAAATATATACAGAGTAATTCATCAAACCATCTCAAAGTGTCAAACTACAGCATCAACAGCGTAATAATTAAAATTCAAAATATTATGGAACATGTAGCTTTTACTGAATATGTTTTTAGTTTCTACAAAATGGTGCAACGTCAATTGTTGTTACATAATTCATTCACAATATACATTCTTTTCTGATTGGCTCAAATCCCCGGTCAATCTTCATAACAAACTAGTGTTGACCAAATATGGAAAATGACGTCAACAGTGCAGACTATCGCTAGGAAAGGGCAACGCAACCGCGAGGCCCTGGGAACGATGTTGTCTTAGCTCAGTTCACTGGTGGAACTGGAAAAATTGGCGGAAAATGTCACCATTTTTCGAAGAAGAAATAGCCGAACTACAGCCTAAAAACATTCCTTCATATCCCGAATTTGCCGAGGAACTGAGAAAATCTTTACATAGATAGAGGTAAGCCTGTTTTAGTTTGTTTTTTAAGTATGAACTATTTTAAATGAATAATAAAACAATTACTGTTGTCGGCTATCATATGATCTACATAATTCATCAGATCATACTCAGCCTCATCGAATAATTGCTAATTATTCTATATTCAGAATTGAGAAAGTGCTTGCGATAGTAACTCCGGACCCCTTTATCGCCGTGCCAGTACCCTAAACTAACTGACAAGTAAAAAAATGACTGAGTTCTGTTACTAAGGCTTTACTTGAGCATTGGAAATTTAAAAACTGCAACTCAAGATATTCCGGCTAACTTATAATCAGGCATATCTCAATGCGGTTGAATTTCAATCAAAACTCACCAACTGTGAACTTTTCCAAGCTGAAATGTTGGAGTCGTTTAACAATGCACTTGTTACGTGCAAAAAAGTCTGCGTAAATTAAATAATGGAAATATTAAATAACGATAATTGGCAACGTTAACAGCAAGGCAAACTCATCTGGTCAATCACCAATAAAATGTGACAGCGTTAGATTAGGAACAGCTAGGAGTTGTTTATACCTTTGCAAACTGATCTCTGACATGCTGAGTTGTATTTCCCAGGAAATCTTCGTTGACAATTTTCTCAAGAACATTTAAAATATCCAGAATGCCACCAGTGGATAATAGTACAGTTGTAGTCTCATTAATTTTACTCAAGTTTCCAAGTACTTCTCTCAAGAAGGTATCATTTACACCTGCTTCGTTTCCATCTTGCGAAGACTGCAATGAAAATTTCATGTTATGACTTAATTTTTTCCTTTCTTATTTTCCTTTGTTTCAAACTTACTTGTCGCACATCACCGTTCATTTCTTCGGTCAGCTATTGGGCAACTTAAGCAGAGACGTTTTTGAGCGACGTACTTCAACGACTTCAGGCGGAACGGGGGGCTATTCCCATTAACATGTAATATGCCTAAATGCCAGCAAAATTGTACTGTCAAGTGTCCTTTCTCTTATAAAGAGGGTTTGCCGAACATTTGGTAAAACCACTGCCAAGGATGCAAAAGGCCCAATTCCGGTTGACGTGCGCGGTTCAAAAACGTATTTCCTTAAGTTCCCTATTGACCGATTTTTTTCTCTGTTTCTATGAACAGTCCCAGAAGTCTTTGCCAAAGTTAACTCGGCCCAGTTTTATTTTTGTTTTCTAAAGTGGTGAGTACACAAATACGGAGAAAAAAACTACGTATGGAAGAAAGAAATTTTACATCCTTGTCAACATTTATATTTCTCTCGTATTCTCTGTGGACGTGTTTCACAAAATAAATTAATGAAGGAAAGAACTTCGACCTTGTCAAATTTTGCTCATTTGATTCGAAATGCATCAATCTAAGCATTAATTTGTTGGCACCACATAAGTTGGTTAATCTAAGACGGTCTTGGATTCTGGATCCCACGCCGTTGATTCTGTATTTCATCAGGAATAAGATTCAAGATTCTCCTTCAGTGGAACTTGGATTCCGGATTCCTTGAGCTGAATTCCGGATTTCAAAGCCTAAGATTTCGGATTCCAAAAGAAGAAAACATTACCTGGATTCCAGAATTCTGATTACCTTACATGTGGCCAATTTTTACTCTTGAATTTAAAAGGGGATTCTAGCATTGCCTTTTGCTGCTGGAAAGTGGCGACTAAAAATCACATGGGACTCACTGAAACTTACCAGCGAACAATTCTCCACCGTAAAGTTTTGTGAACCTTTAAAACAGATAAATAATGCCGATTAATCTCAAGATACCTCAAGATATGTTTGTTAGGTGTCCTTTATTAGCACACCAATCACAGCCTTCCAGGGCTTAGCCTCGATTGAACTAAGTTCCATTTTTGCTAGGCTTTTGACCCACTTAGCGTCCCTATGAATGGGTATTTAACTGACTTCCAGGGATAGGCTGAAGGAGTCAAACTGGGTGGCTGACCACACCATTTAGAGTAACAAAACAACTGATAAAAACTCTTTACAAATTCAGTTATACAATCTGGTCGAAGAAAATCTGACCACCTTTTTAGTTAAATCCTAGTCTAGTTATCAACTGTCCTACAAGAACAAAAAGACAGTCTTACGTTGTCTTAAACTTCTCAAGATGAATTTAAAACTTACAGCTTTGCAGCACTTGATTTAGCTGTCGGTGCCTGGTGTAGTAACATGGACTCTTCAGTTTGTCGTTATAACGACTTAAGTCTGCTGTTAAGGCCGACTCGTGATAACATCGCCACATCTTCTTTGTTGAATTCTTGCTTCTGTCAAACCTAGCTTTCAGCTTACCAGAACATCCCAAATCCATGGCAGTAGCAAAATCTAGTGTTATTTGGCACCATGTATCCATCCTCTTCTGAGAATCTTTGCACACTGGTTTTGCCAGGATCAAAATTTTTGAAAACAATGATACGTTTACTCCACGGGTAAAAGTTAGCAACTTGTTGAAAATATAAAGAACATATGGACAGAAAAAGGCCGCCCTGGTATAGAGCGTCTAAAAGTTTGATAAAAAGATTGAGTGAAACCTTCTTATTAAAACTGACATTCGATCACGCCCTGTGAGTATTTTTGTAAGCGACCGCTTACATTAAGCGGCCTTTTTCTACAAGCTTTTTATAAAAATATTGTTTTTCCGGGACAGGTAGAATATTCTTATTTTTCTATCGATATTAAGCTAAAATATATATCGGGTTACCAGTGCAGGTTTTTCTCTTTTATTATCTGGGGAAAGGAAGAATTATATACGGTTAATTGTATTTTTGTATTTACAAATTTTAATATAGAAAAATTATCTTTTCAAAATCTCAGCCCCTGGTTTATTCTTAAGATATTCTTAAAACTTCGCAAATTTCAACCTCGCTGTTCTTAGAAAAGAAATTTCCTTTGTGTATAGATTTCACAGTATTTATCTTACCTTTTATTTCGTTTTAACTAGTTTTGATTTTCGCTTTCGAGGATTAATAATTATTTTAAAAAATACTTACAAGCAATATTTCCATATATGTCAAAATTAACGCAAGATCCTTTTTTCCAGTTACTTTGAATGAAGCGAATGTATTTTGTTGTTAAATGAAGACGGTGTACGACAATGCCGCTGGTAATGTTTACCTGTTGAAAATCCTGGTTTTAAAAAAAAAAACAGACTATTAACTGGGTGTAGCCAGTTGGAAGTTGCATATGCTTTTAGCATATTAAAGCATCTCTACTTTATAGTTGCTCACATTAGACCCGGCCCCCTTGTGAGGCGAGGGGGGAGAGAACAGGGGAGTCGTTTGGTTGGTGCCTCAAATGGCGCACACATCGGTAGTAATTTAAAGGATACAAGGAATTCAGCGTCCACTGAAATAACTTTATAATTTTGATGACTAATTTGGAAATACGTGGGATATTTGACGACATTTTGACAAGATGAAAGCGACAATAGTCACTGCCGAGTGATGCAACTGTACTCAATAACATTTGTTGTTGTTGTTCCAGAATTAAAAAAAGGATTCAAAGCTACCCACATGACCTAGCGGTATATTCGCATAGGCCTGACAAAGATGATAATTGATAAAAGCAGCTCCAACGGGGCTCGATAAATAGTTACTAACCTTCACAATTGCCCTCACCTGCTGGTAATAGGGCCAGAAGGTCATAGAATTAGAGTTCTGTATCCTGAAGTTTGCAAGTGTATGATTTGAATTCTTAGTCCATGTTGTTACTGCACATACGTCGTAGAAATGATTGAACCGTATTTCCAGATAATTATATTTAGGTGAAAACTCAGCACATAAAGAAGAATGATTCTGGGTACTTCTTTTCCATCCGTGGCCCACAGACACCTCGGCATCGAACGTAATTGAAGCATTCGACCCAGAACCCAGAGATTCACACGTAAATAAATCTGTAGAAATCAAGCACAAAACTTTATCTTTTAGCCCTTCCTGTAGCATCAACTTATGAAGCCAGTATACTTGTATGTACTCCGATGAAAATGTGACACACTTCAAAAAGCTCCTCTTTAGGGTGTGATCTGATGCCATTTTTGCTCTCTGGACAATACGCCACGGTTTCAATGACTCAAACAATGTAAACAGGTAGCTTTAATCTCGTTTCTCGCCTTGTTTCAACGGTTTTCACATAACGAAACTTAAATCAAGGTTAAAAAAAAAGAAAATCGTAACTTTATATGTAAATCTTTTGTATCTTATAGTATCATCTGTGTCATCAAAACACAAAAATATACAGCAAAGATTTAAATCCCGGAAATAATTGTTACAAGTGATCAGAGCTCTTGAAAACGTGGTTAAGTCTTGATTTTTCTGCTACTATTCACCCTTCGTTACTTTGTTGATCCTCTCTTAATGTGCTTTGAGAATCAGATCCGAGTCCAAAAACACTAGATTGAGTGACTACAATATCTTTGAGTGTCATCTAGTATCTTTTAAAATTTTATCCTGTTTATTTACCATGATTATGTAATCCGTGGCTGCAAGATACCTCTGCTCCCTAAACAAAATGAGAACGAAATGTTTTTCATTATCCTTTGAAGTACGTAAAACACAAAATGCGATGAAAGATGCTCTACCTATACCTTCATGGTCAATGTAAAAATAACAAAAATATAGAGTCATTTTGCCTCATTCATCGTTGCTCTTCTCCCAACTTCGTCTCCACACTTTGATGCAAATACCCTTGACAACTTGATTGCAATACAGCAGCGCAGGTGAATCTGGCTTATAAATGCATCAGTAAGGCATTATTTTGTTGCCTTAGGAGTTTTTTTTTTTTTCTTGCTAATTTTGTCTCAGTGTTTCTATGTGGCTATTGGTCCTTTCGTCTTCCTCAATATGAAAAAAATATATATAAATAGAAATTAGTGTCTCCGCACTATGAAAGTTATCTCGAGGTTAACTGTTGTAAGCTCATTTTTACCACAGAATCTATACCTTAAACTTGAAAAAAAATTGCCTCAGAAAAAAAAGAAAGAGAAAACCGAGACTCGCACTTTTATAATGATAATTTTAAGTATGAAAACCCGACAAATGAAACTATTATATTTCCCAAGCCCACAACAGCTGATTATATGTCCAAATTTTATAGAGAAAAATTATAACAAATGCTCTACCGACGGAACTCAAGTCTGGAAAAGTGAACAATCAGGCGTGTCCGCTGGCGTACAATTAACAGCTTTTGTGTATCCAGGATTAAAGCAAATGGAAAGGGAAACAATAAAGTAAAAGGAAGTAATTGTCGACAATGCGGCGGTAAGATTTCTCGTTTCATTTCTTTTTCATGAGTATGAATAACCTTGATTTCCGACAGATCTGACTGTATTTTGATCCTAGATTGAAGGATTGATTTAGCTCCGAAGTTTTTTTACAAACCGTAACCTAACATACTTTGACATAAACCTAAAGTTAAAAAATATTGTTAAAACAAATAGGTCGCCTTCTAAAAATGGACTGTCGTTTGGCAAATCAAAACGTAGTTTTGTGATATCCTTTTTTCTCTTCCCGGATGTTCTGGCCTAAGTTATTAGCACCTGTCTTAAAAAAAGTAACTACCACAGCAAACAATAACTTTGATTTTTTTTCTCCAGTTTTAATCCATTAATCGTTTAGACTGCAGCTCAATGATCTAAATGTTTTATATATGAAAATTCAAAACTGTTTTAAAACGAAAATGTGCACACGATGTGACAGATAAAACATTTTTAACACAAAGCTTAGAACTTATTTACAGGATTTTCCATATTTTCGTTCACAGCCTTTTAGCGCCGTTTTGTCTAATTTAAAAAGTGCGTAAAAAGCCTTGATTGTCAGTAAACCTATGAATTACCTTAACGTTAGTAAGTGTGTCACGTCTTATCGTTTTCATATATATCCGCTCTTGTTGCCAAAAGATCACAATTTTACCCAGGATTTATATCGAAATAAGGAACTGTGCAACTGAACAAAGTTTCGACTTGCGTTTTTTTTGTGCCCCTTTGATTTCTGGAGTTCTGGAAAAAAAAAACCCTGATCTGCATACAAAGTTGTTAATTTTAGTTAGCAAAAGTCTTGATTAATAAAATATATTTTAAGGAGAGTTTTTGCCTTGGCTTGCACTCAATTAAGGACATTTTTATCATGGCGATCTGCCTTTATGGTGACAAAAAAGTTACTATGGGCCATCATTATAATCGTTAATTTGATTACGAGATTCTCATGTAAAGCACTAAACAAAAGGAAACAAGTACTTGCGTGAAAGGACTTGTTCAAATGAAACATTACTAGTTTGATGTCAAACTAATAACCTGACAAAGGAGATTTAAAATCACGTTTACGACAAACGGCAAACATCAGTTTGTGCCACGTGACCAAGTTTCTCTTTACTTGTCGTTTACTGTGTTCAGTACGTAGTTTCACACCAGTTTCGTCCATGAGAATTAGTCTGGACAGTTTTTATCTGCTTATTACCTATTTTGAAAAGTCGTCAACTTGAATCTTAGATTTGCCATGACCGAGATCAGTCTAAATCTCTCAAATATGAGTTCAAGCATTAAAGGAGAAAGCTCTGCAGCCCTGTCTTAGTTCATGTCTAAAACTGCTGTGTCACATTGACAATCATCTTTTCACTGCCATAACAGAAGAGCTTTTTACATATCTTTAAAAAAGCGTTGTACATAAAAGTACATAAATTGATTGTTTTGAGACACGTCTTTTGTTAAATTTTTGTTATAGTAAACGGCGGAAAGAACGAGGTTACTTGGTATTCAAATGAACGATAACTTGGAGAGCATCTACTAAGATCAGTCTAATGACAGGAAAAGCGTGTACACGTTTTCTTTTATATAAGAATGTCGTTTTCTCGACCCAGGCTGAATATTCTTAATATGCTGATTTTAGCCCGAAAATATTCTTGTATTATTCTTAAATCATAATTGAAGAAGAAATTATTTATCATATACTTTGTGCGGTTTGTCATTTCTTTGGTGTTCTATACTATAGATATGTATTTCAACTACCTTTCATCGAACTGTCATTTGTATTGAACATTTGTCCATAACATATGTGCAGGTTTCTTCGATTTGTTGCCATGGGTAGTTTGGCCGTTGAGAGGAAGCAATAGTTTTATACGGCTAAGTTGGAAACATATTTTCAGATTTTCAACACTCTAAATAATGTCATTTTCGAAATCTCAGCCTCGGGTTTGATTTTAAAAAAATATTCTTTAAATTTGCAAATTTCAGCCTCTATATTCTAATGAAATGTACTTTTATAGAAATAAAAGAGTGTAAAACGGTAGCAGCAAACGGTCTAGTTCAGTGGTAAGCTTAGCGAAGGGCCCAGTTGGGCTGTCTTCCCCCTTTTTTCAACCAAAACATCTGAGTCCCGCAGGGCCGCGAAATTTCTTTTTCAAGACCTGTTAGGTCAAACGCGCACTTTCAGGAGACGCGTTACTCAGTTAAAATATAACTTCTGAAGATTGTAATTTTAGCCCTCTATCCGTATTTCGCAGTTCAGCTTTTCATATCAAGTTCAACAATATCAACAGGAGTGTGTTTTCAGCTTCCTTTATCAATCTATTGTAAAAGGAAAAAATACCTGTAAGTTTTCGTTTTTCCATTGGTTTTGTAAGTAATTTCTGCCTGTTAGTTTTTCTCAAAATCTTTGTATCGTTTTGTCTTTTGGTCGAACCATCGCAATCATCACAACTGTCACAATCACCACATCAATGAAAACATCTATGATGCGTTTGAATTATTTTCCTTAAACCAATAAACTTGGATTTTGACGCTGAACCCTCGTTTGGAGTTAATAAGATCACCCTTCCTTATGATAAGGTCAAGAAGAGCGCCCCCCCCCCCCCCCCCCTCTCCCACCATCTTTCACCCCGCGGCGGCATACTTTTATAACTAAGCTCCCCCAAAACCCCGCTCGCACCAATACATTTTTTGTCTCACCGTGCTGATGCTTCTTGTTACACACGGACATTGTTTTTTTTTGTGTACAGTTTGAGCGCCCCCCCCCCCCCCAACTTCCCCCAATCCTTTCACCAAGGCCGGGATATTCTTAAATACTAGTTCACCACAAGATCCTCTGTAGCTCAACCGGTTTTCTGGCATCCCATGAGTTCAGATTCTGTTAAGGACTGAAATTGTTTTCTTTTTCCTAACACTGGAGACATTGCGAATCTACCAACTTTCCAATCGAAAATGATATTTGAAAAATATATGTATAAATAAATGTTATTATCATTCGTTGCAAATTTTTCTTCCTTTTCATTGATCGAGAGCCCACCACGTTACCTGCAAATAACTGCATACAAATAATGGTCTGCTCATGCGCAACGTCGTCTAACTTTGTTTGGCTGCAAATAATATTCTGCTCATGCGTAAATGAAACCACGCTTTTCTCCTTCTTGCGATCGATTTTGCGCGAAAATGGCAGATCGCTTCACTTCCCGAAGATATTCCTTAAAAAACAAACTCGGTGATCGAATGATAAAACGTTTATTGAACTTGGTTATCGCCGCAAAATATGGGGATTTGTCGGTGCCTCGCAGATCAATTATTTTCCTTGGCCTTCGGCTTCGGCAAATGATTGATCTGCTCGCCACAGACAAATCACGATATTTTGCCAAACCTCATCCAATAATTGTTAATTCTGTA